CCCCCCCCCCCGGAAAGTTAATCGATTTTTGTGCCCCCCTCCCCCCCCCCAGAAAGTTTTCTGCGGGCGCCCATGGATGCGACCTTAAAGGTCAGCACGAGCACGACGAGCCAGATGCGATCAACCTTGGTGTGAGCGTCACGTCTGACAGCAAAGTTTGATGCTGCTAACAAACTGGGTGGATTTTTTTTTTTTTTTAGTAGAAAGAAAGTCTTTAATAATAAAAGCCTTCTTGCAATGCTGTTGACTCAAAATGAGTTAAATCATGTTAAGAGCTCATTATTTTACAGCGCAACAGCTCTATGGATTCCGTAAGCGTTCCTGACAAAAATAACCCCAGCTATAATGGATTCCGTTAGTATTCCGGATTATTATTTTAATGAAACTGCTAGATTCCGGTAATCGGGGCCATGCGAAGGTAGAAGGTACCCACTCCTTTCCCAAGCAAAATATGTGTATTGATGATTGGTCTTTGGTTTATTTGTATGACGAATTTATCTTTCTTCATGTTCATCAAATGAGTTGTGCTTGTGTTAAATTCATGCGCATTTCTTTTTTTATGCGAATGTAGCCAACGTTATCAAATTGTGTGTCTATCTTTATTTTGAAAACCTTTACAATATGACTATAAAAAATATTTTTAAAAAACACTCATTTATTATTTGTTTAAATCTCAATGTTTGATTCCAACCCCATCTCCCAACGGTCTTTTCTTTTTTTGCCGTCCAAAAGCCTTGACATAACTTGAGATGACGCTGATAGATGCATGGACGTTGCCTGTTTGTAACGCCACCACCAGTAAGTGGCACGAACATGGCCTCTCGTTCGACTGGCCAGGTAGTTGTCGACACAAGACAGAGAGGCGGCCACGTTAGACACGGAGGAGCAGTCAAACGGTTTCTGTTCTTTGTTTTCCAGACTCTGTCAAGTATTTTAACACTGACTTATAAAAAAGGTTTTGATGGAACCTCAAGTGCATAACCACTGCGAAACACACAATGGCATGACCACTACAATAGTAAAGCATGTGGCAAGACACATGACACTACCACTACAAGTGAAGTTTATCATGACATGGCCACTAATATTGTAGTTTATCATGACCTGGTTACTACAAATGTAGTTTATCATGACATGGCCAATACAATAGAAGGATATCATAACAAGACCACTTCAATAGTAGGATATCCTGACAAGACCACCAAGGGCAGTTTTCAGATACGCGACGGTTTCCTCTGTACAAGCCGCAACGTTATCTACGCCATTGTCTGCACCCGCTGTCAGATGACATACATAGGGGAGACTGGACGCCGTCTCTCGGACAGGTGTACCGAACACCTCCGAAACATTACACAAGATAAACAGTGTCCCGTCTCCAAACACTTCAATAGTAGCGACCACCGGGGCAAGGCGGACTTTTCAATAAGTGCGATTGTGGCCAGCACTAACACCGCCAGCCGGGTCAATTTGGAACACAGACTTATCCTGACTTACGGCACCTTGACGCCAGATGGGATTAATGTTATGTCTCTGTTCACAGCTTGACCCTAGCTCCGCCCCTCCACGTTCTGACCTATCACAGTGAACTTTTTTCTCCCCCCTTTTTTCGCCGCTGCTTATTTAAACTCTCACTCAGTTTCCTTCTGCCACACTTCTATTGCTGCCCACAGATACTACTTACCAGCTAAGTGCTATTTCTTATTTTTATAACGTTTTTTCTGTTGTTTTGTTCGCTGACGAAGGCTTTCTGCCGACACGTTCGCTGTTTTGTTGAGTTTAATTTTTCAGGTTTAACCATACTCTGTTTTACTCATTTTATTTTTTACCACTATAATAGCAGGATATTATGACAAGACCATTACAATAGTAGGATATCTGACATGACCACTACAATAGTAGGATATCATGACATGACCTCTACAAAAGTAGGATATCATGACATGACCACTTCTTTAGTAGGATATCACCACATAACCAATGCAATAGTAAGATATCATGACAAGACCATTACAATAGTAGGATATCTGACATGACCACTACAATAGAAGAATATCATGACATGACCTCTACAATATTAGGATATCATGACATGACCACTACAATAGTAGGATATCTGACATGACCACTACAATAGTAAGATATCATGACAAGACCACTACAATAGTAGTATATCACGACATGACCACTACAATAGTAGGATATCATGACAAGACCACTTCTTTAGTAGGATATCACCACATAACCAATGCAATAGTAGGATATTTGAAATGACCACTACAATAGTAGGATATCATGACATGACCTCTACAATAGCAGGATATCACGACATGACCACTACAATAGTAGGATATCATGACAAGACCACTACAAATGTACAACATCATCCCTTGACCACGACCATTATTAACAGATCGTTGTAACTCTTCTATTAAGCAAAAAATAAAAACTATTTCACACACAAAAAAAGTAGTTTTTATTGTGTAACAAAAAGTAGAATGAAATTGTACAGCATGAATCTAAATGACCTTAAGAAACAGTTGACATATCAATATATTCTATTACATATGATGTTTTTTTTTAAGTTTACAAGTATATCAAGTCTATTACATTGAATTTAACCAAACACCTTCTTTCAATGGTAACCAGTCCATCTGCACTGTTACAATACACTGGGCCACCCTAAACAACTAGAAACCATCAACAATTAAAATTGGGATCAAACTCTATGGTCTCCACACATGGGGCAAAAAGCTACTACATCAAGATATTATGTTATATCTTAACATCTATCAAGAGTTTATAATCACTAAAAGAAATAGACGTGGACAGTGCCAGAATTTTAATGGGTTACAATAGGATTAATATATATATATATATATATATATATATATATATATATATATATATATATATATATATATATAATATTTATATATAATATATATATATATATATATATATATATATATATATATATATATATATATATATATATAGGATTAATATATATTAATATTCCAAAGGACGTCTCTATGAAAGGTGGGGGGTGGGTGGTGGGAGTCATCTGTCCCCATCAGCTGAACTGTTCGACACCAGACCCAGTTCAGTGAAAAGATTTTTTAGCATTTTTGATTACTTAAATAGGAGTAATAGAACTGACACAAAAGTGATCAGTGGTTTGGAATATGAGAGTCAGAAAAGTGATCAGTGGTTCGGAATAAGAGAGTCAGTTATACTTTGAAATGTAGGACAGTTACATTACAAACAGACCATAAAAATCATTTGCTATGAACAGAGTCATTGGTTTTGGTAGAAATAAATCAAAACACATGAAATGCTCCATTTCGCAATTATTCATTGAAATACACATAGCAAGGACGTAAGGGGTGTTCACCTCATATTAGAGGCAATACAAAAGTTAAGTCACAGTTTTTATGTAAGTAAATAACGAAATAAAAGAATGAAACGTTAATAATTCTGTTTATTTAAGTCCCAATTGTGTCAAAATCATGCTTTTAAGGGTAACTAAATAAGTCTATCTACGGTCACCCTGTTCCCTCTGCTACATTCACCCGGTTCCCTCTGCTACCTTTACCCAATTCCCTCTGCTACATTCACCCAGTTCCCTCTGCTAAATTTACCCGGTGGCCCAACTACATTTAGCGAGAGTCGAACATCCTGTAGCATATATGTTAAGGCAGTGCACTGCATTCTCAGAAAGATACAAGTCTAATCATTTCCTTACACAAGTCACCAAAGTTCAAATATTTTTTTGAAAACACGGGACATAACACATGTGTTGTATATTAAAATATTGCACAAGAAGTCATCTTTACAGGATTTCTTTAAAAAATCTCAGGACATTTGGAAGAGAAAAAAATTCTTGAGTAAGCCCAACAATGTTAAAAGTTGACGGTTCCAGGCGTTAAAATCTCATGACCACCTCTGAACTGAGCAGTGTTTAGTGATTTTTTTCCATATGTGAAAACCAAATTTTACCCTGTTTGAGAAATTTTAGTCAGAGTGACATCTTGGAATATAAAATACTATTGCGGATGCCAAATAAACTATTAAATGACGTCACATAGTCAATTAAGGTTGTTTTAAAAATTACAATGTTATATCAGGAGTAAAAAATCTTCCAATCTCTAATAGGGTTTGAAATGTAATGACAAGGATCTATTAATAGAACATCTGCGCATTCAGCTCGGCCAATCTAATTAAATGGTGAATATATATTAATGAAACATCCTGTTATTATGTTAGGCCAATCTCTCAACCGCTGTACGGTAATTCTACATGAATGCTAGTAATGGGTCTTAACCTAGACTAAAACTTGTTTGCATATTTATTTTATGAAAGATTTTACAAACTATCACTGCTATATATATATATATGCTGAAATACATAAATAGCAGCCGTGCTTTACCGATACCTCGTCTAAAAATAGTAACATTACATAATGTGATGTTATTTTTTCCGGACTTAGAAATGACAAACAAGCTTGGTCACAGTGAACACTACTTACACTATGACAATTGACTCATAGCTTGAAAATATTGTGTCAAAATATTTTTAACGCATGTTATAAAAAAAAAAAAAAAAGAAAGGGAAGAAGCAAGAGACAAGTGCTGCTCTAATATAATGGCAGAGTGTAACAAAACTTCCTTCAGTGTAAGTGTGCATCAACGTAAAAGCTACATTCAGCTTTAAGCTTTGACTTCCGTGCAGCACCTGGCACACACACATTGTATAGATAGATCATAGTCATTGGCAAAAAAAAAAAAAAAAAAAAATTATGCCAGGAATACTTATCAGAGCGGAGCAAATAATGGAAATCATGTTCAGCCTTTCAAAGACAAGTATCTGTGGGCAAGGGGAAAACAAAAAAATAAATAAAAACACATGCAAGAAATGATGGAACCATGAGATGGATGACAGACAAAGAAACTGAAAGCTCTCTATCAAACCATCATAGTTACTGAGCTGCTAGTACATCAGATGTTAATAAGTGGCTACACATTACTATATATCCCTGCATGAAATGTAAGCAGAAAAATGCTTTATCCTTTCAATCATCACTTCATATATATATATATATATACACACATGGGTTTTTCCTTTATTTAAAATTTTTTTTTAAAATGATAATTTTTTTTTTTTTTTTACATTTAAAAAAAAAAAGGTATGATCATTTAAAAAGAAATTATTACTATGCACATTTTAAAATATTATTATAAAATCAAGAACAGACCGCAGTTCATTGATTGCGCCTGATTAAAGCAAGAAATTCAAATAAAAACAAAGAGTGGCAATAGGAAAGTTGTTGACATTGAAGTAATTAATCCAAACATTTGGAAAGTTGTATCACAAAAAAATAGTAAAAAAAAAAAATATTAAAAACTTTATAACAAAAAAAAAATTCTAACAAAGCTGAATAAGATCATGTACCCCTAGTTTTAAATAATACTAATAAGATTGATTTTTATGATGTAAAACCAGGGATGTGTTCACCTGGTAAATGTTTACAGTTTTCGCCCCCCAAATTTTCACTAGTTTTTTGCAATGGTGCTTTTTAACAAAAAAAAATCCCTTTTTATTGCAGTTAAAGGGAGATTCCCTAAAAAACTCTTTGTATCCTAATTTAAGAAGTTAACCCCGCTCCTGTCAATCAGTTAACCCCACTCCTGTCCATCAGTTAACCCTGCTCCTGTCAATCTATTTGTGAGGTAAAAGCTGTGATGTGTCTAAGCAAAGTGGTATAACTCCATTTGGTAAGAACATTTTTTTTCCCACGTTATTTATTTTTTTTTTTAAAGTTTATGAATAAATCTTCAATTTATAATATCCAAAGTGACATGGGTACATTTTCACGAATTGACTGTCATCACCATAAACCATACTTGGCATCAACCTTGAACCACAGCACCCCTAACATCACTTTGGTCCGTGCAATAGATTCATCTCTCTACCAGCTAATTAACTTCTCAAGAACTTGGGAAGCCAGGTTCAACTTCGTATATTTGTAACTCAATAATGAAAAAAGATAACAACCAATGTTCTAAGGAGAAGCTTGTTACACTAGGGCAGCTGGGTTGACGAGCCAAGTACATCATGAGGCATCAACTGCCAGGGTTGGGGCTAAGGTTAAGGATGAAATCGGCGGGGCATGGGTGGCGGTTAGGCAGGAGCGGGTCAACCAGCAGGGGGCAGTCAATTCAAGTGGTTTAGACAAGAATGAAACTGACTGTAGCTGTGCGAACTTCACATACCGATGCTCGGAATGAACACATGGGATGCTTGCGCCACCCACTCTATGATTCAAATATTTTTTTAATGACTTGGTGAAGACTAAACAGAAACAACAGATAACAACAGATCAGATGTTTCTCAAAGGAAAGACTGCGTACACAGTTTTCACAAATCCAGGTTACAACAGACGATTAAACCGTAAATGACATCTTTCCTCATTGAACATGAATTAAACAACATTATCATCCAGGGCTCCCCCCACCCCCCAACCCCTGCTCTGCAAGCCACACAAGCACACACAAGCAAAAAAAACAAGAAACAAAGAAAAAAAATAATAAACTACAATATGGTCATCTTCTAAAGGTTAAAAAATGACTTGAAAGTTACATATTTCTGTAGTATGTTGATACTGATATGGGATTGCAGAAGCTGACTTTATCTTTCACTTTGAGACTAGGGAAACTCAACACAAATTTTGAGCTATATTAACACAAAAATATCATCATAGACCACAGGTCAAAAACCCATAAAACCATACCATAAAACTTGATGACACCTTTTTCAATAAGGAAAAACTTTGGCCATGTCAAAAAGCCCAGCTACGTCCACCTTAGAGCAAACATTTACAGTTCACGCACCCATGCACAAACAAAGCAAAGCCGTAACAGCTCCAATGAGTTACATAAAACTACCATCAACTAAAACTCAGAAATGGGCATGAAGAGAATGTGAGTCCAGACACACATGTTCAAATATTGATACTAACATAACATTGATATACATATGATCTCAAAGCACGTACGCTGAAATGAATGCTTGAAGCTCATCAAAAGGAAAAAAAAATTAATTTTAAATGAGAAGACTTTTTAATCTCTTTTTAACCTGGGAAGCAATGACAAATTTCCCAAGTGACAAAGCTGGTTAGAGAAGCCAATGAAATAATTTGTTTAAAAATCATCGAGAGTTTCAATCCTTAGTTTAAATCTGAAAAAAAAAACTAAAAAAGATTATGTTCTCTTTAAGCATCTGTCTTAAACAGATGTTGGCAGAAAGTTTTTTTTGGTAACTTTAACGTGAATGTACTTTTATGCTATTTAATTTAGATTGAAATTCAAACATTAAATTTTTGAGAAATGAGGAAAACAATGCATCAGTTGTGCATCTGATTAACAGCAAGTGGTGAACATTTCACTGAGATTGAATCAAAGATTTGTTTTCCACATGTCTGGCATTGATATACTCTAATATCTGATCACTAACTGCATGGCTTGGAACTGACGGTAAGTTTACCAGGTTATGCTTCTGTGATGTAAGTGTTAAAATGGAAAAAAGCCATCTAAAAATATATAAATTAACTTAAGAAAAAAAAAACCCAATAAAACAATAGCATTGCCTTGCCCTAATCGTGACAGAACATGACAGTAATTCACGACCAGTTGACATAGGAAGTGACAAATTAGTTAATGCACAGCACACCTTAAATATTCAGCACATGCAAAAAATTTGTTAATTTTTGGTCTCTGATTATGGCGATTATAACCCCTAACCCAAAAATATTTTAACTGGACACATTAAGAATAGAAAAATTAGTAGCTCTCCCTTGCTCAAGTTAACGCTGTTTTGACCTTTGGCCTGTCGATCAAGTGTTTGAGAGACTTGAGTGAAACAACTGTTGACTAGCAGTTAAGAAACACCAGTTGGCTCTGTGGAAAGTATTAGCTCTCAACATGTCCTTTCTGATAATTCTCAGCACAATTATTGAAAAAAAAATTATTATAGGATAATTTTTTTTTTAACCTCCCACAAAAAGAAACTGCCTGGTTCTGGACAGCGCCACAGGCGAGGTCAACTAAAATGAATAAAATTATGCTTAAAAAGTCATTGTGAGGTATAAGGAGATAGCAACAGTTCATTATGACTATGACCAATGCAGTAAACTCTTCCGCTTCTAGCACCTGATGGCGGTACACTGATGACAGGGATGTTTCATTGCAAACAATGTACAGTGAGACATTGGTACGAGAATTTTAAGTATATTTTTTTTATCAAAGTTGTGAAGCCATTCAAAACAAGAAATTTGTAGACTCAGTTGACAGATTTGATGGTCATCCCTGGGGAAAATCCGGTGATGTCACACTGTTGGAAATCCCTTGTGAAACATTCCAAATGTTTCAAGGTGAGAAGAGTGTCAAAATGTGATATTTGTGGGTCTGCCTTCAATGTGACAATCCCAAAAATGCGACTACAATGCGACTGACTTATTTAATGTGACAGAATCACAATGTAATGACAATACACCAAGTGCCAGGAAGTCTTGCCTCTGATATCAATTCAACAAAAACATTTGAATCCGCATAATTTCCTGGAATAAAACATTTTCTATTTTCCCATGTAAAACTTGTTCACTTTGAATTAGAAAACCAATTACTTCTTCTTCCTTGATGTATACAACTATCAGCAACAAGGGCAGTCTGTTCAGTCACCTGGGCAATTCTGTCCAAGTTGATGGAATATTAATTCCACATTCTACAAACACATTAAAGTTGTGAAAAACAGGAAACATTGAATAGGTTCAACTAACACCTGTGGTAAGACAAAAGAATCCACGATTGGTTTACCGAGCATGCATGGCAGTGAGTTGCATGGCTGAAGGCGGGGAAAAACTGGTCAATCAAGTCCTGCCCGGGGGTCATCTTTCGCAGCCAATGCACAGTGCCGTCTGGCCCTGGATGTAGTTCCGGCAGGGGCAGAGCCGACGAAGGCTGTCCATGCTCCCGACACAGCTGTAGAGCAGGCGTTCATCCTGCGTGGTGCAGGTCCCTGAGCCGGAGTCGTAGGCTGGGTAGTAAATGTTGGATGAGTGAGCCATAGCTTTGCACTCAGTGAAGTTACCAAACATTTCCTTGTTGTTCAGCACCGGGAAGTAGACTGGTTCGCAGATGCGGCCTGTAAAAAAAGAATTGTCAATCATTAAATACAGGTTATTTATTTTCTGAGTGAGGCATTGAGAGAGAGAGAGTAGCATACGTTTTGCCTTCAGTGAACAAAGTAGTCTAATCCATAGCAGCAGTCTAAATTTCTTCACTTACAGGGGTAGACAATGCTCAGAATAATTGAATGAGCCAGCAAGTTTTTTATTATTTTATAACTTTTTATTAGAACATTTAGGTAAATTTTAAAGTGACAGGGCAACCTGTCCTCAGTATTTGTCAACCCCAGATAAGGTATTACTATGTACAAATATTTGATGGCAACCCTGGCTGATGCCATTTCAAGGGCTTATCAAGTTGCCCCCAAAAGCCCCAAATTGTTTGACGGTGTTGTCACCTAATCCTCAACTTAGCCGACAGTGCCATCATTAAGTGCCTCAAACTCACTCTGTGCCCAGCATGCATCCTTGCATGATTTCCCGGGCTCCGCCAGCACTAGCTCGACAGCTTCCCTGGGAGGCCAATTCGGCTGGCCTCGTTGGAATGAGCAGAAGTTCTGGTTTTCAATGTAAGCATTCATACGCTGTAGCATTCCTTCTTCTGTGTATTCAAATGGAAGATACGAGGGGAACTGAAAAGGAAACGACAAGCCAGACTTGGGATAATTTTTTTGTTACATTCACATTGAATGGGGGTGAATGCACGCTTAAAGGGCTGAATGCACACTTATGTGGGGTAATGCATGCTTGTAATAGATGAAGTAAGAGAAACAATTTCAGGGAACATAATATAAGGGAGTTTTATTTATAATGTCAACTATTTAAAAAAATTTTGAAAAGACATTTTAAGATCATTGCATTTCTATGCATACAATTCAAACAGAGTCAAATTCCTGTCACATGTGAACCTGCAGTTGGAGCCTCGCTCCTACACTACACAATGTAACATTACAATTTAAAAAAAATTATTTTCAAATGATTACATCCACACATACCTTATTGTTAACTAAAATTTTGTTTAGAACTGCTTCAACGTCACTAATTTTATTGTGATCTATGGTGTACACGTAAGGTTCCCCAATAAATGTCTCAGCGTATGGGTGTTGTGATGCTATCTTAAAACGAAAAAGATTATTCATCATCAGGTTGTACCTTTCACAAGCGTTGAGACCAATTACATTAACTTAAAATAACATAAAAATAAACATTAAGCTCTTTTAATTAAAATTAAAATCAGGTGAACTTCTAAATCTTTGAATGAAGTTACAAAAAATAATTAAAATTTTTTTTTTTTTTAATTTTATTTTTAAAAGCTTAAAATATGTGTTGTTTAATGGAACCATAAATCATTCACATTGTTTTTTTGTTTTGTTGTTTTTTTAAAATTAAAATTAAATCAATTGAACTTCTAAATCTTTGAATGTAGCTACAAAAAATTAAATTACAGCATCAGTTACTTATTTAAAAAACAACAACAATGGGAATGATTTCCGGTTCCCTTAAAAACACATATTTTAAGCTTTAAAAAACATATCTTACAATCTTGAATAGCAACAAATTTGTTTTATGATGCAGTCAAGAATCAGTAACAATGTAATCATATGGTCAATGACCAGTTAAAAATTTTAGATCAAACTTCAGATGATTGTTTACACAGCCAATGTCCAGTTAATGGTTTACTAAACAATCAATGTCCTGTAAATGGTTTACTACTCATTCAATGTCCTATTATGGATTTATTGAACAGAGATTGTCAATGCATTGTTTTATCTTAATGGACATTGTGAAGTAATTGGTTCTATGTGCTGTATTTACCTCTCTGTGAGTTGGTTTCCCCTTAAAGAATTTGTGGTTCTTGCTGCTGTGGGGAGGGTCAAACTTGAGGTTAAGGAAGACGGCCCCGTTGGCGATGGCCTCCAGAGGGGCTGGGCCTTCATATGGAAAACCAAGGCCCACAAACACCTGGGGTGAGAAGAGTGCAATCATTTGATCAGATGGACAAAGAACAACACTTTCTGACAACTAAATAAAGAATTTCTTCAGTTATCTCTCATAACATGTTGTGTTTGTTTGATTCAATTAACTAATGGGTATATTTGATTCAATTAACTTATATGTTTTTTTGATTCCATTAACTAATGGGTATATTTGATTCCATTAACTAATGGGTATATTTGATTCAATTACCTTATGTGTATATTTCATTCCATTAACTAATGTTATACACTTGATTCGATCAGCTGCTAATGGGATGTTCAGAGAGTGACAATGAAGTCAGAAACTCATACTGCTATTTTTTTTAAGTGTTTAGTTTAGCTTCAATCGGTAGGACCAGATAGTTTTTAAAAAAAATTAACTTGATAGCTACAGCTTGATTATGCTAGTATGAAAAATTTAACTTTAAAACTATCATTCTGACGCACTTTTAACCCATGCTGTTTAGGAAAAACAGGCACCAGTCACAGCACTCAACCTGATCTTTCATACCTACTCTAGCACCTCTTAGTTCCACAAGATAGTTTACCAACAGGAACCAGTCACAGCACTCAACCTGATCTTTCATACCTGACTCCAGCACCACTTAGTTCCACAAGATAGTTTACCAACAGTGCCCAGGAAATAGTACCTTGGTTTTTTGTAATAACTTATGCAGCTCTACCCCTGTCATGATCCCATGGTTGATCACATAACTAGGCACATTCTGCAGTTTCTTGCCAGGCTCCTCATAGACAGTGCCGTGCACTTCCAGCTTGGAATGAATAACATCAAGGTATGCCTGCTTGTCCTAAATATATTTTACAAAGCCATCATTAGAACAAGGGAAATAATCATAATACCAAGGGAAGTAATCATCTGAACTGAAAGCTCAATGGTAGTAGTATAATCTAGAAAAAACTTGATAAACTTTTAAAAAATTGGTTCTTAGGTAAAGATATTTCATTTAATCATCTTTATAAAGTTTGATTAGTGTCCTAAATGAAACAAATTTAGTGTGAATGTTATTTTTTTAAATAAATACCAAAACTCAAGAAACCAAAAAAACCCACCAAACATGAGTAATCCTACTGCTTGTTTTGAATTATAATTAATATGAATTATAATAAATATAAATTTAAAAAATATAATTCAAATTAAAAAAATTTTTTAAAAAACATAGTTAACATAAAAATAAAAAATAACTTGCAACTTCAATGTTTACTTACTTGAAATCTTAATCTAAAGAAATATCAATAAGTAAAAAAAAAAAGCTTTACTTGATAATTTGTATGTTTTTTAATGATACATATATTTATTGATATTTATAATCATAGAACAAAACAAGAACAATTTTATGATGGCAGTATTTAGAAGATTGCAATTTAAAATCATAGAACGAAACAGGAACAATTCTATGATGGCAATATTTAGAAGATTTCAATTGGATTAACTTTAAAATTTTTTAAATATCTGAATAAAATCCTTAATAAATTTGCTATCGAAATATTCAATAAGAATTAATTTTTTCATCATCATTTAAATTTTGCTATGACAATGCTGCCAGCAAACGGCCACAATGGTAACTTTGCCCAACTCACGACTCACAAATAAAATGTGTGGGAATTTAGCAAGCTGGAAATGGATTCATTAGCCCAGCAAGGAACTTTGGTTTTTTCCAATAAAAAAAAATTCTCAACAACTAATGTTGGACAACAGCAGCTTAACTTGGCATGGGCTTAGTCATCGGCCAGCTACGAAGCCCACATCAATTCTTAATATCAAAATTTAACTGACGTTATTCATTGTGCATTTCTTCTAGTCACGATCAAGTTTGCTGGTATCTGGTGTGGGAACGTTACTTATTGTCTAGGTGAGCCTACCTGCCACATGTAATCATTTTTTCCATACACAAGAGCTATATTCTCTTTGGGTTCAAGGTTGGTCTCTGATTCATTCAGAACTCTATCCACCACAAAACCCATAAAGGAGTTGTCAGGGGAATGTGCTGTAAAGGATATTTTAAAGACCAAAAATGAATTAATCATGCAAAGGTTATGTTGTTCAATTAAAATGTAAGTGGCGATTGCTTGTATTAAATGTAAATCTTATTGCTAAAATTGTTAGTGAAGTTTGGCTGGTATTTCAAGTTTAACCTAAGGATAAAATTGTTGTTGAAAAAAGTTTTGGCTGGTATTTCATGTAAAAATTATTGATTAAACATTTGGTGAAGTTTCATGTGAACCTTTTTCCTAATCAAAGCAATAATCTCATGAAGGCAAATGTTCTAAATGAAGGGGAAAACCCCTTGAGAAGTTATTTTCCTTTGAAGGTGTTGTTCATGGAAACTGTTATAAAACCTGTGTGCAGCTGTTGCTTATAGAACACGGTATAAAATAGCTGTGTGCAGCTGTTACTTACAGAACACAGTATAAAATAGCTGTGTGCAGCTGTTACTTACGGAACATGGTGTAAAACTGCTGTGGCAGCAGGTCCTGCCCACCCCATGAAGACAATATTTTATTTTGCTTAGCAAATGTGTGGTGGTTAAATGCAGGCTCTGTACCAAATGAGTCTACCACACGAAATAAACAGCTGGGGAAATTAGCACAATAAAATAAAATAGACAGCCATATTTTTGCTTTAAAAGCAAAACTTGTCAACAAAAAGAAGAAAAAAAACGGTACCTTATAAATGGATCTTCAATTTTTTTTTTTCAACATAAAATAAATTTACTATAATTCATCTAAGCTGGTAATTTAAAAATTTAAAAAAACAACAAAAAACAGTGGTGTGTTGATTGAAAAAAACAAAGTAAATCATCTTAAACTTGCAATTTACAGTGAGAGTTACTCTTGTAGTTAGAAAAGGAATAATTCATCAGAAAAGAGTAATGGAGATATTTGTTGCAATTCCATATTTTTAAAAATTGAAAGACACATATCACAAACTGAGATTTGAATTCAGTGAGTAATACACCAACAAAATAGTGAAATTCTTCTTAGATGTAATACATCTTTAAGAATGACTAAACAAAGGCTAGGCAATGGTCAGACATCAAATCACTACAAAAATATAGTCCCTTTTAGCTTTTAAAACAGAACCTGTTCAGTTCCTACTTTTCTGTTAAAAGGCACTGCATGGCCATTCAAAACCTACCTAAATTTGGCATATCCAGCTTTGAGCCTCTTCTTGAACTGTATAAGGCCCATGATATCAGTGTAAATAAGATGTACTGGCAGCTCCTTCCTGCTCTGGCAGGGAGTTTTAGCTGCTGGAACGTGATTTAGGATTCTGATAAGGTGAGAACAACAAACTCATTTTAGATCTTTGTTAAACATCTTTTTTCCTTTTTTTTAAAATATCAAATATAACAAAATTAAAATCACACAATTGTTTGGCATAGAAAAGTAATAATTTGACATCAAATTGTTGGACAAGTCTAATAAGACTAATGACAACCCTCAAACCAATATCCCCATAGCATATAAAAAATTTAATTTGGTTATTAATTAATTGATACACAAAGAATATTTGTAAAATAAAAATTTGGACTGAAATAAAGTTTTTTAAAAAGGTGACTTAGTATGCTGACTAATAAATTTGACTAAATACTTGATAAAGTGATGAGCATTTGAGCTAGCAAACACCTTCAGCTGGCATTAATGAATCAACAAAAAAAAAACGACAACAGGGCCCCTCGTGGCATCAGATCTCTTAAAACTGAACAATACTGTTACTCCTGCAAAGCCATCCAATGGTATTCTGAAGCTGGGACTATAATTTGTTTGTAAACTGTGGCCAATACTTCTCTTACTTAATCCTGATGGAAGGCTACCCACTAGCAACAACAGAAACTTCTCGGGCACAGCTTTGACAGTTATTTGGACGCACAGCTTTGACAGTTATTTGGACGCACAGCTTTGACAGTTATTTGGACGGGTAGGATGCTATCCTTGGTTCAACTGATGCCGACAAGCTGTCCATCTGATACTCACTCTACAAGTTGCTCCACCTCACTTGTAATGGTCAGCTCATGGCCCAGTATATACAGGGTAGAGATGAGATCACTCCACTGCACAAGTTCACCCAGGGGCCCACCTGAAAAAAGTGATACAAATTATATGAAAATAAGAACATAATGTGGGGGCCTCCCCAACCTGAATAAAGTAATACAATAACAAGCAGGGAGCCCTCCTGAATAAGGCCATAAAATAATATTGCAACTAAATGAGATAATATACCAGTGAGCCCTATTAAATAATGCAAAAAAGTAATATACCAGGGGCCAATCTGAATAAAAGTTGTTGGATTTTTTTCCATTTTTTTTTTTATATTTTTAATTTTTTTATTTTAAACTAGCAGCATGCTTTTCCCCACTTCCATTTAAAAACTGTTTGATTTAACACTTTTTTAAACATAACCTTTGTGACTAGTCACATCTGCTTTCCTTCAAGGACCAAAAGTAACTTTTACAAATTAAATCAGGAAATACATGGCAATGAGTTTTAAAAAATGTTTAAGAAACAATTTTCTTTATATTGTTCATTCCAAGAAGATTAAAAGTCTCCTTTAATTTTCTGAAGAAATAAGATAACCATTTTTTTTTTTTTAAAGCACCTTTAAACTGCATCTCAGCAAACTGCCAGCCAGACTGCTTGCTCAGTAGTCCAAGATGAATTAAAATCTGAACAAAAAAATAACATATTAATAGAAATCCGATTGATATAAAAAAATAATAAAACATCAATTATTATATTTTATAGCTGCTATTTTTATGTTTCATATACAAATGCCCATATAATATTTTAAAAATAATTGTAAATATAAAGTTGCAGAAATGAAGAACATCTTTTAAACAAAATATAAAATAAAATTATGTCGCCACATTTCTATTATTATAACAACATGAAACAATTAAAAATAATTTTTTTTTATTCTTAACTTTTCCCAAGTATTCCAGAAACACTCGGGGAAAAGTTAAGAATAAAAAAAAATGTTTTTAATTGTTTCATTTTGTTATAATAATAAGAATGTGGCGACATAATTTTATTTTATATTTTGTTTAGAAGATGCTGATGGTACTAAAAATACACTAAAATGCTACAGCATTTGCAATAAAATGCAAATATATCAGTAAAAAATGAATTATCAGTCTCTTTTTAATTCCTGTAAAAAAAACACACAAAAACTAAGATTTAAAATCAAAATATTCCAGCAAAGCTATCTAGTTTCTAAGATCCATTTAAATTTTAGATTCAATGACAGCGAGTGTTCAATCAGTACTTATACACTACATGTACTAGGTGCCCATCTGAATAAGAAAATAATATACCATTTATTAGTATTTTATCATTTTGTTTTGGAACATTTAAATATTTACTTTCTGTTTTTGCCTCCCCTGGATATCATATTTAGCCATCAGGGTTCTTGCCCCTTCAGTCCATCTATGCCACATCCGACTGATGCGCATTCTAATCCAGGCGTAGCCCTGACGTTCATTGGGGTCCACCAGTATGTTCATCAGGGGCTGCAGGTCCAGTGTGAAGTTGGCCTGTGAAGGGGCACAAAGGAAACAGTGACATTTTATTGCTAAAGGTAGAACACCCCTACAATGCACACGCACAGTGAGTTGTTTGCGCAGAAATCATGATTCTGTGTTCTTGTTATTTGGCAGATTTTTAAAAATGCGTAACTGGTTATTCTTATTTTTTTTTCCTCCATCAAAGCAAGCCATTGAACCATTGTGTTTTTTATAATTATTGGCACGAAACCTTGGTTCCATTGGGGAAAAAACAACACCAAACTCGAATGTTTTCAAGCGAAGGTAACTAGTGACCAAATATATATACTGATCTCCCTGAATGGCGTTTTTAATTGCTTCCTAGAGGTTTTATATAATAATTACTTCGCATTTTTCAGTAAAAATATAATACTGTTTTTTTAGCATCCTAGTAACCAATTATAAACAATGGTTGCAATAAAAAATTTACAGAGGTTAGGGTACATGAACATGCACACACAAAAATATATTATTGCATTTAAATGTTAAATTGGTAGTCACATGCGCGTGCATTACAAATACGCACTTCTTAACTAAAAATGTCAAGTTCCACTATTTTCCAAGAAATTTTGGGAGGTGTTGTACCTTAAACCCTCAGTCACAATGTAACCAATAGGACACTTGGGCACAATGTTTTTAAAAAGACACTTGGGCGCAATGTTTTTAAAAAGATACTTGGGCGCAATGTTTTTAAAAAGACACTTGGGCGCAATGTTTTTAATAGGACACTTTGGTGCAGCGTTTTTAACGGGACACTTTTGTGCAATATTTTTAATAGGACACTTTTGTGCAATATTTTTAATAGGACACTTTTGTGCAATATTTTTAATAGGACACTTTTGTGCAATATTTTTAATAGGACACTTTTGTGCAATGTTTTTAACAGGACACTTTTGTGCAATGTTTTTAATAGGACACTATGGCACAATGTTTTTAATAGGACACTTTGGCCCAATGTTTTTAATAGGACCCTTGGACGCAATGTTTTTAAAGTGTACAATCTCATAATCCTTATTGCTTTAATGTTATCGCTAATCATTTTTTTTTAAAGGGTTGGCTCAATTACAAGATGGACTTTGATTTTTTCAAGTCAGGCCGGCATAAGATAAGTGCAGTGTTTCTCTGTCTCATTAAAGGTGTCTGAAGTTTTAACAATCTGAAGTCAAGAGTCAGTGAAGTTTAATTTTTAATAAGTTTTTTTTTTTAGTTCACAATGGCTTTTCACTGCAAAATAAATAAAAATCGAGTGTATCTCATGGTATTTTTTTTAAAAGTTTTGAAACCTCTAAGCTGGTGAAACTTTCAAAGATCTGCATTTGCAAATGCACTCCCCCAACAGTATAAATGATAACTATGTCCCACTTACATAGGTGACCCGAGTGTCCACTAGTGTTTTGTTCTGTGATCCTGACCAGGCCTGGCGGGGACAAAAATCTTCCACCTTAAAAAAAGAATGAGTTTATCACAATAGAAAGCCAGATTTGTTTCTTAGCTGTTGAATGACAAGTCATTTGTTCTCTCTGCTGACACACCACACAGCATTAGTTCATATTACTACGGTACATTATGATGAAACAATTGGACCTTAGTTCACTAAGGTATATTATGATGAAACAATTGGACCTTACTTCACCAAGGTACATTATGATGAAACAATTGGACCTTACTTCACTAAGGTACATTATGATTAAACAATAGGACCTTACTTCACTAAGGTATATTATGATGAAGCAATCTGGCCTGACCTGACTAAGGTACATAATGCTGAAACAATTGGACCTTTCTTCACTAAGGTATATTACGATAAACAATTGGACCTTACCTCGCTAAGGTACATAATGATGGAGCAGTTAGACCCATCCACACCATAACCTTTGTAGCAAGGATCAGATTTCCACATTTTTTGCATCCACTATGTGAAAGAAACAAAAAAAGCAAGAAAGATATTAAAATAACAGCCTCTCTCAAGATGCACTTTAATATCGCAGAGATGTAAGCCAAAAATACTCACAACAAAAATTCCATACTCTCATAATGAAGAAACATAAATACCATGCTCTTATGGTGTATTACAATCAATTTCTACTCTAAACTCCACATCATCAATAGTCCAATATTTGTTCATTCAAATATCTCCCTCAATAAGCCCAACCATCATCCAGCTAAACAGTGTTTCCCTCAAAAAATCATATTAGGAACCAGCTAAACAATACATCCCTCAATAAGCCCATATCATCAACCAGCCATACAATATATCCCTCAATAAGCCCATATCATCAACCAGCTATACAATATATCCCTCAATAAGCCCATATCATCAACCAGCCATACAATATATCCCTCAATAAGCCCATATCATCAACCAGCCATACAATATAACCTTCAATAAGCCCATATATCAACCAGCCATACAATATAGCCCTCAATAAGCCCATATATCAACCATCTATACAATATATCCCTCAATAAGCCCATTTATCAACCAGCTATACAATATATCCCTCAATAAGCCCATTTATCAACCAGCAATACAATATATCCTCAATAAGCCCATATCATCAACCAGATAAACAATATAACCCTCAATAAGCCCATATCATCAACCAGATAAACAATATTTCCCTCAATAAGCCCATACCATCAACCAGCCATACAGTATATCCCTCAATAAGCCCATATCATCAACCAGCCATACAGTATATCCCTCAATAAGCCCATACCATCAACCACCTATACAATATATCCCTCAATAAGCCCATACCATCAACCAGCCATACACTATATCCCCCAATAAGCCCATACCATCAACCAGCTATACAATATTTCCCTCAATAAGCCCATACCATCAACCAGCCATACAATATATCCCTCAATAAGCCCATATCATCAACCAGCCATATGATATTTCCCTGCCGTCCAGCCACTTGTCTTACCTCAATTTTCTGAGGACAGTGTGGGAAGAGCTCCCTGTCCTGCTCCGACAACTCACATTTCTCTGACTTTCCCTGTAGGAGATCTGGATTGGATGACATTTTAAATTTAACTTTTAATCAAGCCAGGAAACTTAACACTTTGTAATCACAGACATCATCTGACAAGCTAGCTCGCTCATGTTTTAAAAAGGTATTGATGTAAATGTGTCACTTCAAGGGATAGCTCCAAGCGGGTCAAGTATATATAATGCTATGACCTTCTGTACAACCATCCCCTGTATCTACAATTTTCTAAAACTCTTGAAATCTAATTTATTCAACGAAACAGATTTTGGGGGAATCCAGCAAAGATCTTAATGGGGAACGTTTCCCTTTAAAACAACAAGGGGGGGGGGGGGGGGTTTGTACTTATGTGGCCCATTTTGAACAAGGCACCAGGTGCCACTGCAGGGAAACAAGAGTTGATGGGGGAATCCAGCAAAGATCTTAATGGGGAACGTTTCCCTTTAAAACAACAAGGGGGGGGGGGGGGTTGTTGTACTGATGTGGCCCATTCTGAACAAGGCACCAGGGTCCACTGCAGGGAATCAAGAGTTGGGACAACTTCATCTGAAACAAGCCCACAGCTCAATGTGCATAAGACAATACAGGACATTCTCTTGTGGGGACATTCTCTCGTGGGGCAGACCTCTTCTGGGGCCATTCTCTTGTGGGGAAATTCTTTTGTGGGGCCGACCTCATGTGGGGCCATTTTCTTTGTGGGGCCATTCTCTTGTGGGGACATTCTCTAGTGGGGATGTTCTCTTGTGGGGCTGTTCTCTTGTGGGGCCATTCTCTTGTGGGGCCATTCTCTTGTGGGGATGTTCTCTTGCTGGGCCTTTCTCTTGTGGGGCCATTCTCTTGTGGGGACATTATCTTGTGGGGGACATTCTATAGAGGGGCCTAGCGCGCGCTCTTATGGCCCTGGCTATTTTGACAACCGCTTGCCTCATCAAGTGTAGGGGCAAAAGAGTGCTCCCACAGACCGCCTCGATTCTTACCTTGGGCAGACAAGGCTCCCTTATTCCCATCCAGACCCTGACCTGTGCCCCCTGGCAGCAGATGTGATGACAAGAGGGAGGAGTTGTCGTTAAGGAGGGACCCATTCGTGACATTGTTGACAAATATCTCCAAGCGGTTGATGCGGGCCAACATGGACTCCAGAAGGACAGCAATGGTTTTCTTTAGGTCTGTGCAGAGGTTGACAGAGTATAGCAAATGGTTTAACAGAGTGTTTGGTTTGACAGAGTATATGGTAGTACACAGCAAATGGTTTAACAGAGTGTTTGGTTTAACAGAGTATAGGGTAGTACACAGCAAATGGTTTAACAGAGTGTTTGGTTTGACAGAGGTTAACAGAGTATAGGGTAGTACACAGCAAATGGTTTAACAGAGAGTTTGGTTTGACAGAGTATAGGGTAGTACACAGCAAATGGTTTAACAGAGTGTTTGGTTTGACAGAGTATAGGGTTTAATACAGTGTGGTTTATAACAGAGTGTATGGTTTAACTGATCAAAGAAAATGCCTGAATAATTAGACCTACAGACAAGGATCAAAAGTATGCACACGAACTAAAGGTAACTACGAGGATCAAAGGTAATATTTTCATGATGATAGGTAATTAATGGAGGATTACAGGGAATGTAAGATAAATTTAGACAAGTATCAGAAGACTACAATTAATCATTGAAGTAATACATTATTTTATACACTGAGAAGTGCTCTATGTTAACTTCTTAACTCCCAAGCTTTATATCTAGGCTGTATGCCAATAGATCCTGCCACCCCAACATCCCCACACGCCCCCCCCCCCACACATACGATAATTTACTGTCCACAGGTTCAATTTAGACCAGACATTCTGATCAATTTAACCAGACGTGAAATCTTTATCAACTTTTGAACCCAGTGAATACCCCAAGTGTTACAACAGGGCAAGTCCCCTGCAAAGGTCAAGGGTTCTTAACTTTAAGTCCATAACTTCCAAGGGACAAGGAGAGACCTCAGGCCATCTTAGAACTGTGATAGCGAGATATTACACAGCTAATTAATTTTAATGTCAGTAAACCCAGGACTCAAGCAGACGCTAGGTGACCCCATGACATATCGACATTTTAAAAATACCCTGAGGAGTTAGTTCGTTTAGACTACTTCAGACAGGTTAGTTAAAAAAAATTTAAAAATCTTACCAAACGCCGTGAATCTCCCAGCATAAGGCCCATCCACGATGTCTCCATTTTCTTTGGCCAATGCTTTGATGTATTCTTCACTGAGCTGAACAATTTCTGCCTGAAAGCACAAGGTGTGTGGCATTTTGGGCATCCATTTTAGTCAGTAAGAAACATGGACGTTATAGGGAAGGTAAGGGGCGTGATTAGAAGTTGACAGGGTCATTGAATATTGAGGGAGGGTGAGACACATTGACTGTTGAGGGTGACACAATTACTATTGAGCGAGGATGAGACACGTTGACAGTTGAGCGAGGGTGAGACACGTTGACAGTTGAGTGAGGGTGAGACACGTTGACAGTTGAGTGAGGATGAGACACGTTGACAGTTTAGTGAGGATGAGACACGTTGACAGTTGAGTGAGGGTGAGACACGTTGACTGTTGAGTGAGGGTGAGACACGTTGAGTGTTGAGGGAGGGTGAGACATATAGACAGTTGAGTGAGGATGAGACACGTTGACAGTTGAGTGAGGATGAGACACGTTGACTGTTGAGTGAGGATGAGACACGTTGACAGTTGAGTGAGGATGAGACACGTTGACTGTTGAGTGAGGGTGAGACACGTTGACTGTTGAGGGAGGCTGAGACACATAGACAGTTGAGTGAGGATGAGATACGTTGACAGTTGAGTGAGGATGAGACACGTTGACTGTTGAGTGAGGATGAGACACGTTGACAGTTGAGTGAGGGTGAGACACGTTGACAGTTGAGGGAGGGTGAGACACAGACAGTTGAGTGAGACACATTTACAGATTGACAGTTGAGTGAGGGTGAGACACATTGACAGTTGAGTGAGACATATAGACGATTGAGGGAGGGTGAGACAAATTGACAGTTGAGTGAGACACATTGACATTTGAGTGAGGGTGAGACAAATTGACAGTTAAGTGAGTGTGGGCCACACAGGCAATTGAGAGAGGGTGAGACTAATTGACAGTTAAAGTGAGACTTATAGACAATTGGGGGAGGGTGAGATTCATTGACAGTTGAGTGATGGATATGCATATTGACAGTTTAGTGAGGGAGAGACGCGCTGAGTTATGGCCAGTTTGGGAAGACGAAACACATGGAAAACCATGTTAGTGGTTCGATCACCTGGTCATGTGTCACATGCAGGACGTTCACATCGAACCCCTGTTATCTTACAACAATACGCACTGTGAACGGGGCTACAAGATATATTCGATTTTTAAACAAGCCCCCGCCCCTCCCCACACTATTTTTCCCGGAGTTCACCATTAAAAAATAAAAGAGGTTGTGCTAGTCAGGAGCCTATAGTTACACAACGCAAAAAAAGGGGGGGGGGGGGGTGACAATGTCACGTGGGCGTAACCATTACGGCCAACGATGTGTGGGGGGGGGAGAGGGGGGAGCTCTTTAATGCCTGAGATCATGACCGACGTTGTCCTATTTAAACGGTGGGCAGGGATATTTGTTTGACTCCGTAGCCCGGTTTAAAAGATATTTAAAAGAAAAGAAAAAAAGATTGGGGGTGGGGAGGGGGGGGGGAAGAATGTCCCCTCCCAAAGATTCTTCTTCCTGCATCATGGAGTCAACCACATGACTTGTTCGCCACACGAACGATGGCTTTTTTTCCCTTCACCCCCCCCCTCTCCAACCTCCTTTGACGTGTTATGACAGTCTGAGACCCGGATTTCCCAACCTTTACTTTATTCTGCGCCACTAGTGAGTGACTAGGACAAAAGTATCTATCCATCTTAACCAGTGGCGTAGCTAGGGTTGGTGCCACCCTGTGCGGGTTGAGGGTCCGCGATAAAAACTAAGTAAACCCCCCCCCCAAAAAAAAAAAAAAAAGGCCGAACCGTGATAGACCCCGCCCCCCCCCCCCCAGCCATTTGTACGCCACTGATTGGGGAAACCCTGATTCAAACTTTAAGCCACATAACTTGACTGGAGAGTTTGTCAGAAGAGTTCTCGTGATTTTAACTTAACAACTCTCTAGTAGGGGTTCTTAACCGGGGGTACGCAAAGACCCAGAAAATTTAAGTTTTTTTGTATAGTTTTTTTTTTTTAAAAGAATTTCATATCATGGGAGCTGCTGGAAATTTGTTTTGAAAGTGAGACAGGGGTGCGGGCAATGTATTGAGGGGGTGCAGCGCTGCAAAAAAAGGTTGAGAACCCCTGAACTAGAGGGAGAGTAGGTGAAGAGTGTCTCCCCTTACAGCATAGCGAAAGGAATCTGTAGCGACGTTAACCTTCTCAGTGATGTTCAAGTGATGTTCACATCATCACACACCATCGCACATAATTACACACCACCATACAACATCACACACCATCGCACATCATCACACACCATCGTATAACATCACACACCATCGCACAACATCACACACCTTCGCACATCATCACACACCATCGCACAACATCACACATCATCGCACGACATCACACACCTTCGCACATCATCACACACCATCGTACAACTTCACACACCATCGCACGACATCACACACCTTCGCACATCATCACACACCATCGTATAACATCACACACCACCACACAACATCGCACACCTTCGCACATCATCACACACCATCGCACAACATCACACACCATCGCACGACATCACACACCTTCGCACATCATCACACACCATCGTACAACATCACACACCATCGCACGACATCACACACCTTCGCACATCATCACACACCATCGCACAACATCACACACCATCGCACGACATCACACACCTTCGCACATCATCACAACCATCGTACAACATCACAACACATCATCGCACGACATCACACACCTTCGCACATCATCACACACCATCGTACAACTTCACACACCATCGCACGACATCACACACCTTCGCACATCATCACACACCATCGCACAACATCACACACCATCGCACGACATCACACACCTTCGCACATCATCACAACCATCGTACAACATCACACACCATCGCACAACATCACACACCTTCGCACATCATCACACACCATCGCATATCACACCCCATCGCACAACATCAAACACACCATCGCATAGCATTGCACACCTTTGCACAACATCACACACCATCGCAAAACATCACACACCATCGCACAACATCACACAACATCAACACCATTACACAGCATCATACACCATCGCACAACATCACACACCATCGCACAACATCACACACACCATCGCATAGCATAATCCCAACACACTCCATTACATAACATCAAACACCATTGCACAATATCACACACCATCGCACAACATCACACACCCTCGCACATCATCACACGACAACATCGCATAGCATCGCACAAACACACCATTGCGCGACATCACACACCGTCGTACAACATCACACACACACACCATCGCAAAGCATCGCACAACACACACCACCACACACCATTGCGCAACCACCCTACGATCGCAGGAATTGACTCTTCTCCTCAAACAGGATTCGACAGACCCTAACGGCCCAGGACGTCTTACCTTGACCTCGTGACTGCTGCGGGGCTGCGTCTGGCTGAACATGAGCGACATGTTGACGAACGTGAAGGACCACAGCACGCCGCACACCAGCAGTGCGACAAGAACGCGACGCAGCATCGGGATGCGTAGCATTCTCGGCGGCCATTTTGACGCCGCGCTCCTCACCATGGCAACGTGGGTCCTATGGGGAGCTGGGTCTCGTGCATCTGTGGAAAGGGAAACGGTACACTGTACACAAAATATTTCAACATCTAGAACCCTTGTGAAAAGTGGTGAATGGATAGCAATTACCTTTAAGCGTATGTTATTGTCTTGACATTAGCTCAGTGGCTGGCAAACTCATTAGTCAAAAGAGCCAAAAATCAGCAGCAGGACGATTAAATAAAAAAATGTTGAGAGCCAAATTTTGTTCAAGACCTTGTCAGAAACCATGTTTTTTTGTTGTTTTTTTTTGTTTTTTTTTTTTTTTGTTTTTTTTTTCGAGTCAAAACCGATTTGTGGCCGGCTGACCGAGCCGCACTCAGGTCGCTAAAGAGCCGCTTGCGGCTTTGCCGACCACTGTATTAGGCTCATATGAAAATCAATCCAAGCCTGCAGCGGTAAAGCCTGAAAATTATGCAAACGTACATTAGAAACGGGAAGTTCCATTGACGAGAATAGCAAACGTTGAAACGTGACGGGTTCGACAGATAGATTGTATCAATGTGACAACATGGGTCCACATTTGGATAGTCTTAGACAAAAGTCTGTCTGTGCGATAAGCAAAAACGTTTGTGGGGGCGGTACAAAAAATATGTGCGCGAGGTGGGGAAAAAAAACAACAACAAAAAAAAAACAACAACAAAAAAAAAACAACAACAACAAAAAAACGTGATTGCGACCAGAAAGGTTGCGTGTACAGGAAACACACTTCCTGCGCGAACTAAATTTTTAAAAAAAAAAGCCTCTAGCGACGTGAAAGGATGAGTGTGCGTAAAACAACAACAACTGGGATGTTGTCCTGATACGTTACCACCATGGAAGCTGTTTTAAACACAGCGTGTGCGAGCACCTCATTGGGTGCGTCGGTTTATTAACAACGTGTGCGTCCACGCGCTCAGCTTTAAGCGAACACCCCCCCCCACACACACACACTTTGTTTTTTTGCCCCCCCCCCCCCGAGGGTGAAGAATGACGTAGAGAAGGGTCGTCGTCGTCCCCCTCCCCCCACCCCAAAACAAAAATCATTGTGCGATAAATCGTTCCGTTCACCGTGGTATACTTCCAGGGGAACCAGACTAAC